GAGCAAAGGTCTAAATGGTAATTAGAAACCGTATAGGATTTGTAAAACTGTCCCCCTAATCGCCTAGTGGGTGACGTATTTTCCGCTAATCTTAGCGACGCGTTGTGGCTTAGGTTGGAACCAGGGCATTGATAGGCTTCGTTCAAAGCTGGGAGCTAACCTTCTGATAGAACGTGTGACGGCGACATCGGACGTAAAACTCAAACCGTAGCAAATATAGAGGTTTCATAAACCCTCAGAAATTATAAAAACGATTGCAGCTCTTGTTTGGGTAAATTATCACATATGTGTAAAAAGAGCCTCATTATAAATAATTACTTACATACCTTGCTAGTTTTTGTCACGTGAAATAAATCCAGCTTCGTGTTCGATTCCTCGAAGATGACAAGTGATTTTTTTTGGTTGACTACTACAGCTCAATGTAGAGTTACGTTAAACCAGTTTTTTTTTTCCATTTTATCATACTACTTCCCTGGAACTTAAATCCGTCCCCGCCAAACTACCGTTAGCAATATTATGGAAGACTTTCGCAACAGCAAAAAACATTGCGTTGTCCTAATGTCTATAGCGCATTATCTCAGTCATAATAGATTAGATTATGAAGGAAACTTAGCAAAGATACCCTTTGCTGGATATTTATCTGGAGTTATCGGAGGTTCTGATTCTATTTAACGGAGAGTTTTTGTTGCAAGAAGTTGAATGACAGCGCTAAAGGTATTCTCAAAGATAGCTGTCTTCTGGCTTCCATCTGCCCAATAAGCGGCCCTGTTATTGACGTGTTTGTCGTTACTACTCAGATATCTTCTAGCTTATTAAGCTCTCCCTCGAACTGCTGGTAACCCAGTGTTCTACTTTTTCACAGACATCCGGGCACACTGTCACGGCTGTGCATGGTATAAACTCACCGACGAATATAGGGACATACAAAGATGCTTCGAATTTGCCATCGCGAGAGAACTCGTTCCTTTCCATCTCCGAAACTATACATTTATAGTAAATAACGATGTCCGGTTCTTTTTTGCTTCCTCTTTATACGCTGTTTGCTGGTCAGTGAACCTCAGAGTAGGGAAGGTCCCGGTATAGTGGCATGGTGCATTGAATACACCTGCTCGTCGTCGCCGTTGTCGTCGTCGTAGTCGTCATCGTCATTATAGTCGTAGTCAGCAATAGGAAAGGAGCAATCCCGAGCAAGTGTTGTCTCTGCCGCATGAATCAGGCAAAGGTGAGGCACCCGTTCGGACCAAGCTCACACGCAGGCATTACAAAATCAGGTAACCGTTATCTGTAACGGCACCGATGCAATCACTACAGACAGCCCGCTAACCAACAGGGACGGACGCATCAGCAACATGATGATGTCTAGATAGACGTTTCGGTATGCCATAATGCGTATCAGATCTAGCTGGCTTTTCAACCGTTTGTCACATGCATTACAGATACAGTTGTCGACTTCTTGATGCTACCGGTTAATAATACCAATTACTACTATTATAATACTTGTTTTTGTTGTTATTATATTACCATCACTAACATTGACCAAACTGGTGCCTCTTACGGTCTACTTTCGTCGTAAAATATTCCATAACTGACGGCGGCCTGTTTCAACGCAATCAGGGCCTAGGCTGATATAGAGCCTTGGGGAAGGTGTTTATACTGCGACGACTTGCAGCGTAGCTCTTCGGTTCAGATATCAATATTCTTGCGAATAAAACGTTCTCCGCTGCGCATTTTTATCATTCCTATATCAAAAACATAAATGTATTTCCATATAGGAAGGTCATTATTACTCTACTGTATTATACATCGCGTGACTGTGTAGCATTTCTCTTTGTAGCGTTACGCAACAACTTAACTTGGCGAAGAACTGAAAAAAACCAGATACAAAATGCCATGCCAAATGTCACCGCCTAGCTTGCAGGCACAAAGTCGTTGTGTTGATTCTGTGGATTTAATTCAGTCGTGCGTAACGGAAATCCCTACAAACATACATGCGCGGAATCGTTTTAGCATAGGAACCTCATCGTTCAGTAAAGAAAGATGCCGATGAACGTTCAGAAAACGTTTCCTCATGAGCCATTGTACACGGTGATATGCAATGACAGTAAACACGATGGCATTCAAATCGGTGGCCTGCAGAAAAGTGACCTAAAAAACACACTTCTTAGATCTATTCGTGTCCCTCTAGCCGTTTCGAAAGTGAAATTAAGCCTATGGAATGCGCTGAATTTATTATGCGACTAGTAGATCAGCCAATAATAAAAACTGCCGATGCAAAAACATGTTGTTTTTCCAGTAGCTTTTCAGTAGTAGAAAAAAAAATAAAGTTAAAAATGGTTTGTTAAAGTAGCCATACTTTCTAAGGTGTAGTGGCATCAAGTGAAATTTTACAACCGGATGGTAGTACCCGATTATGCTGAACGTGTTTTTCCGAAAGGAAAGTTGCGCTCCGTAGAGCAACACGTAACTTCAACGGAAAATCAAAAACAAAACAGCATACACATAAGGATATCATTGTTTCCTAATGCCGAAAACTTATTTATCAGCGTAATAGATGAACATTCAGCATCGTAATAAGTTCTGTTTGTAATTACCATGAGGCTAAACGAAAATGTGCCTTCTTGCGACCTGCTGGGTTTCGTCTAAATAGAGCACGATTTACTGCAAGTACACGATCCACTTTAATATAGTCAACATTAGCCCGGTAATGCAGTTCTGTGTACCATGAATCACCAGTCCATTTATAGAAACGGAGCAAAATGGGCACACTATAAAGGCGGGAAATTTTCAAAATGTCCAAGGAGAGCGCTAAGACAAAAAATCAGGGTTTTCGACGTCAGATATGATGTACTGTATAACCCTAAACAACCGTTATCTAATCTGGTCGAACAACTTGATGACTAATGTATTGTCATTTATGACAAACCTTTACAAACACAAACATTTATGATAAACATTTATGATTTCACCAAACGTCCCCTGTTTGCTACGAGCTTATAGGCAGTATTCCAGCGAAATCAGGTAGAAGTTGAGAAATTTGATATTTTCTATTTTAATATATAACGTTAATCGTTAATACCGTTCTTTCATATTTACGCGCACTTACAACGAACCGAATTCACATAAGCTTTTTATTATAAATAACAGGTCAAGCTATCAAACATGACGAAGTCGGAAGGTCTCTTAAACACAATAAAACGCTTTGATTAAAATTGAAAAGTTTGAAATCTGTCTGTAATCCGAAATTATGAATGTATTTTCGGATTACAGAGATTTCAGCCAAGAAATATCTCATGCCAAATCTGTGATTTTTTACGTCATTTATTACGGCACCTGTACGATCGGGTGACAACCGTACGAGTCCATGCCAACGGGTTATATAAAATCACATTTTTTCCCAAATTACCAACAAAACATCTTAGACGAAAAGGACCCTCGACTCTAATATATGATAATGACGGCTGAATACCTAAGCATCTTATTCTTTTTAGGCGTGATATCGAAAAAAGCAATTATGGTCGTACCTCAATTTACTCTAACGCTAATATACACCTTTTCCTCATCCATAGGAAAATCACGTATAGAAGAGTTTCTTTGTTACAGAAGAACGACCGAGCTAGTGCTTTTTTAATCCGATCATAACTTACCGCTCCTTCTCAAGTGAACCGGAGATACTCTGCAGGGCGTCTGAACAATAATACTAATAGGCGCAAGGTTTCTGTATTGGTGAAGCTCAATAGATTCTGCGCCCCCAACTAAAAGGCAGAACAGCTCGTGCTGAAACGTTGTGAACGACGGCATGTCTAACATATCTATTAGATATGCTGTGAATCTAGATAAAAACTACCCTGGTAAACTGCTGTCTGTCTTTAACTCGTTTCGGACAAAACGAAGTCAAATTGCCTAAATACAACGGCTAGATACCCTATATTATAGCCCCGTAGTAAAGGGCCTTGCTCACTACTAATTGATTCTAGCAATGAGCCGGCATGGGACTGTTAGCTCTCGAAGTCAGAGATCCCAGCCGACGGCAAAAACTCTACACCCGTCCTAGTTTAATGCTAATAAACGAAATAATCCTAAAACAGATATTAAAGGTAGAATATTATGGTGGGATTTGCTCTATCATCATTATGCTGGACATATGACAGGGTACTATTTACACAGGTTTCAATGATTTAAGGAAAAAGTCAGCGAAAGCAGTGGCACGTGATACGATGAACAACGGATCAGAGATCCCGGGCAATTCTTTTTAAAGTAGGTGTCAAAATTTTCTTTGATTCTCTTCCCAATTAAAAATCTTTCCACTGCAGCGCATCAGTGTGCTCAATACGCTCAGATATTAAATTATTGATCTATTTGCTTTTTTCAAAACAGCGAACAAACCTAATTAACCTATGCAGTACTCGTTCTCCGAATCCATGGACGTCATAACGATGAGTTGAGATTCCGGTGTCACGTCGACAAAAAAACTCTGCCTTTGCCAGTCGGCAATTTAATTTAGAAAATCTAATTTAAAATTCTCGCTCTAACCTCGTATTGATGTTATTACTAAAGAGGGCCACATGCCCCACCAACTAAGATTGCTTAACTTACCAAATCTATCGAGTACCGCTACAGGGTCTACAGAAAATTTGCTCTGCCGGGAACTTCAATCAACAATCAATTCTTTTGTGAATATAATGAGCGAACAGCTAAACAGATCAAGCTTGCTGTGGGCCCCTCCACTTCCGCGATAGCTAATGATTACGACGATAATGGTATGGACCCGAGCAGGGCACACTGGCCTATTGTTCGATGCCTACGCCCATGTCGGTACCGTCATTGCTTTTCATTATCTCATAAATACATATTCTAATAGTGATGCATGTACCGACATCAAAGAAATGTGTTCACAAATGTTCACCTTAGAGGCCGGAAACACCTTGCTCAAAGTTCGGTAATCTCTCGAAAATGTTATGAAAATGATGCTCAGTAAAAAAAAAAAAAACTTTCTGTACGTTTTTCTTGATTTGTTTATTTTGAAACGCGCCACAGTAGACGATGATTTATTCACCAAAAAAGTAACTTTTTGCCCCACTATAATCTCTCTTTGTTACCGGTCTACTCAAGCATAGCACATTTATTCAACATTCCGAAAATTCCAAGCTTCATTTAGTCATTCGCATGAGAACATACATAGCTAGTTCGAAGCACTGGGAAGTACTCGAGAATTTCTCGATTAGTTGTTTAGTGAATGATTATTTGACAACTTTTCCCGGAAGTACAATTTCATCGCAGTTTCAGTGGAAGGACATCTCAAACAGAGGTAACAACGAAGAGTATGCCATATAAAAGGTCGATGTTATATTTCAACGATGATAACAGCAACGATTTTGGCCGCCTGTTTGTTACTTTACGGTTCATAGACCGTATTCCATCTAAATGTAATTGTTTTTGCTTGTGCATAATATTTTCCTAGAATAAATGTAGGCTTAAAAAATAAATGTGTATATATATACCTCTACGTTTTTCGGGTTCGCAACCAACGTGAAAAACGCCATAGGTACCATTCACACACACTACATACATATATATATATATCTTTCTAATGGTCACCCTCAACGATATGGTTGCTAGTTTCTTCTTCTTTCATTATTTTTATGCCTAGCTTTGTTTATTCAATGTACTGGGATAAACGGTTTTTTAGCGATGGATCTTTAGCGTTATCAAGGTAACGATCAAGGAAAATTCGTTTGGTCACTTACTTATACATGTGTGGATGCTGCACATATGAATGTTTGTAAAGTAACGACTTAAAGCTTTTACGGATTTTGTTTATCCGCACAAATGGAACTTTATTTTAAATAAGACATGCATTGTAGACCACGCTTCCACTAACATGCCTCATTAACAACACGCTTATCTAGACAACATTGGTATATAAAAATATTTTCTTGTTCAAAATAGACTCTTTCCTTCCTTTCACATATACGTCTTTCGATTATCGATTGACTAATAGGTACAATTTCAAATTGAGGAAAAAACTAGCGAGGTGGAACGCTCACCGCGTCATGTCATCAGTTACATAACGGATGCTTTATATCCATTTGCAGAAGCACATTAATCAACAACAAAGCGATCAACTACAATCTTTCCCTTGATCCTATTCGCGCCTCGACCGGTTCGTATAAAACAACATTGTAATAGTCATATCAGTGTGTTGAAAAAGCTTAAAACTAACACACGGAGTTCTTACATTTGCTGCTGTCGTCTTCTCATCGTATGTGCCGTTTACGTGTGTTTGCGATCTTTTAAACAACAGATTTCGTCACTTTTACGTTGGCTTAGTTCTATAAAAGTACTAACATGCTACAGATCTTTCTCACTCTTCGCATTTTTGCCGATAGGCATTAATGCCTCGCGTATACGATCGGCATTAACAACGTACATTCGTTTATGTGCTTCACCGATTGTGCTTCGATCAGTGCTTATGGACATTTAAGCACTGATCTATCTAATCGCCGGAAAAAAAATATTTGGTAACTTACTTCTATCTATAAGTTCGCTTGGCATTTTTTTTATCCCTTGTATTTACTTTCTGAGCGTTACAGCGTCTTAGGCTTTAGTGGCATCCTACTTCGAACTTCATATCTAACATAATAATGTTATATTAGAATATGAAACATCAACTGAAAACAACGTAATAGAAGGGCCAACAACGATTTAGCAGAAGCGATATCTCCCGGTATAGGTGCGATGCATTGGAGTCAACTAGGCGCGTTTGTAGTATCGTAGAGAGTAATGCTGTGGCATTGTAAGTCTTTCCCTGAGATTTGACGAAAGGCAAACGATACCATGATCATTTCCCGCTTTAAAGGGAGACAGTTTAGGATCATTCTCGAGTTAAAAGGATCCAATATACGACGAAAAGGCCTATTTCATAACATAAACTGGCAAGTTCTTGTAACAGCAGAATAGCGCAGGGTAGTATTTTCGGCCCCAAACTTGAAAACGATTATTATCTGTTCAGCTTCAATGAATCAGTAGGGGCATTATATATTACTGGTTTCTAGTAGGCGACGCATTGCACTCGGTCCCTATGAAGCGGCGGCCCGACATTAGATTCTCATCGCAAATAGCCAGGTATGCGTTCTTCTAGATGGGCTCGCAAGTAATGCTACACATTCAATCGATTCAAAACTGGGCTGATAAGACCCTGGTCCACCTGTGGCTAGATCTCTCTTGCTAACTGTTTGCCAGGAGCCAAAGTCCACTACTTGTTTGTTTTTCGTTAAAGCCTCGAATAACCGTTATGGCTTTAGTGCGTTTATGTCGTTGATGTTTTTAGTCCTGATCTGGGAAAGTGAGCATAAGGCCAATGATAAGTCCGATGCCGAGCAGGACCATAAAAATCCTAAACAATCGCGAACCTCCCGTATGTCTGGAGTTGAGCTCATGCGGCAAAATCTCAAAGAATGTTATGTACACAAATGTTCCAGCTGCGATACACTGCAATACACCGTTGACCATTGCGGGGGCGCTATCGATGCCGATCGCAATTCCGATGCCAATTGGCGCCATAGCGGCAAAAACTGCCAAGCACGAAAAGACAGCAATGTGCCCCATTCGCGTGACTGAGCTGACAAGATTTGTCGCAAGGGTAACGGCAATGACGCATTTATGGACAACGATCGCTCCAAATAGCTGAACTACCTGCAACAGGCCGAAGCATAGAACGACATAGCGGTGACTGCTGCTAGCCAACAACCAATTGAACTAAATGTAGAAGAGAATCTACACATAAGAACTGATTACAAAAGTAGTGTAGACCTTTCAGTACTTCAATGCTAGCGGCAAACTGTTTATTATAATCAAATAACATAGTACAACGAATTGAAATGGTCTATATAATGGTCTTTTGTATAAAAGCTAGAGCGACTGCTTGCTTGCACTGTGGCAGCAATCGTCCAGATGCTGAATAATATATCCACTCTGAAAATTTCTCTACCTTCAAGGAACTAAGGTTTAGTGTAAGACAGCCAACAACTTCTTAGAGGCGCTTCCTACTTCTTCTGTTAGCTCGTAGAATGGTAATGCGCTTCGTCCGAAGGGTACTCGAATCGAAGCCCCGGAGAGGAATCGTATGCTGCAACCGTTCTTCATCTAAATGTCGAACTAGTGAACACACGCATACGAGCAACCGAATATATAATAATAATGAATAAAATACGAACATATAAAACAAACCTGCTGTGTTGTCGGTCGAAGCCCTATGGCTATACCTTCAAAAATAGAATGCAATGACAGGGCAAACACCATCACAATTGCTCGGAACGCGGAATGACTTCCCGGATCACCGTGCATGGATACCGCCGTCATGCGATCCTCTTCGTCGGTCAGCTCATCAAATTCATCGTCATCCATTTGCTTTAAAGAAACAAAAAGTAATATATTAATGTTAGTTAGCTTACACGATGCAAAAACGTATTGCGTGGATATGCCGCGCGGTTACGTCCCGCTCCCATCATGGTTGAACTTTTAAAGGATTTTAATAGGTCTGTGCTACCTCATAAATGCGCAGAATTTGTAACGTTATGACATCTTCAAGTTTACCTCGGTTTGGGGTTTGCAGACTGAGTAGCGATTTCGAGTTTCATTAGTTCCATTAGATTCAGTAAACATCGGGAAGGGGAGTACATTCAGAATAAATATTCTTCTTTTTTTTTTTTTTATAAAAGTTATCCATAGAGCCCAATTTAGAACCGAAGAAGCAGGATAGCAAATTGAAATTTATCTATTTATTGATATTTTAGCGTCCCGTTAGCATTACCAAAGAGAATTTTTCCCCGATTATCAGCTGAAGCTTTACGTTAGCTAGCAGATGTTGTTTAATGAGATCGTTATAAAAGGCAAATAAAATAGTGTACCCTGTAGAACGAGTCTAGGCTATAAAATTAGCGAGAAAACTAGTAGTTATGCAACAGATAAACCTTGGCGCCCATAGAAACACATTATGCTCATGAAGCTTGTAAAAACACTTGGTAAAAAATACTTATGAATAACACGTTCTATACTCTAGAATAGAGAATAACACTCACTAATCTTGTCATCAGCGTTATGCCGACCTATTTAATTAACGAAACTAACTTTTATCATCTAACGTTAACGCTTTCAAACATGTGATTATAATAATCTATCATTACTGATACAAAATTTGTCAGTGACTAAAAGAAGTCTGCGCAAACTCAGGACGATGATATTAAACTGTAACAATTCTCAACACTATTTAACGAACAGTAAACCTTAGTTATTTAATTAAGGTTTGCTGTGTGTTGGCTCAGAGATTTCGGCGTCGAAGATGCCAAAACTTCTGCACAGATTTGTATATAGGAGGATAGAAAGCGGTTTGCAAGGGGCGACATGTAAAAAAGGAGAACAGACAAAATTTAGATGAGTCAGCAGATGCTACACGAAATTAATAGCGGCACGTAGAGGTAGGGGAGGGAGGCATGAAAGAGAAGATTGACGTGGTCAGTTGCCATCGTACCCCAACGGGTTTATTCATGCCGCCTTCTAGGACTCCGTCGAGGTAATTGGAAGAGAAGGAAGAAGTGGGGGCCCCATCACCAACCGAAGGTATACCAAATTGGCGTTGTGCATCGTCGTCCTCAACGTCTTGGTCAACGTCATTCTCATCATGCTGACTGTTTGGATGAGGAAGATCGTTTTGGACGACGGTGACACCTTCGTTGGCTAGCCTCAGCGCTTCATCGGTTTGAGCACAACCACCGACCTCTCGGTTTGTCTGACGTTCGCTATCATTCATCGCCTCCCTGTGAATCGTTCCATAATTAGGTACTGGCGCTGGGCCTAGGTCGTCTGCTCCACGGCGCGGACCGTGACTGTGGCTGTGGTCCATGCCACTACACGAGTGAATGAACTGTAATTGACAATACGATACATGGGATTAGAAAATGGAACGAACTAATAGACATGTTTGCTTCAGAAAATATATTAACGTTTCGTTGCAATGAACCATAGCGAACATAGTACCAATGACCACGCAAGCCAAATGCAGTATAACGTTACCATGGCAACAAATCATTTAAGCCAAACCCTCAAAGACAACTTATTTTACTCTTTTTTTTTTAATTTTTTTTTTACCTTATCTTAGGTAACTAGCGCTCGTCGGAAATACGAAATTATATTCGCCAATTAGCCGGAACATGAGACTGTAATGCCACGATCCCGTATGGGGATGTGACAGGCTAAGCCGATATGACAGGTGCTTACGAGTCTTGCAACACCTACATATATTTTTTCTTTTTAATTGTAAGATTTCCCTCACTTGAGAACGTATGATTCTGGTACTAGATAAGAACCTTATTATTGAAATACATTTTTTCTATTAAAGATGAAATAATTGAGCCAGTAAAGAAAATCTGAGTTATTTTGATTTTTATTCTAGAAGTAAAGAAGTTTCTGTCACGCGCAGCTTTTCTACGGTAATATGCTTGCCATATTGGTCATTATTAGGGTATCAACAGAGAAACAAACGAAACGACAGAGCACTGACAAAACATAAATGAAAGAAATAAATTATTAACTTACTTGAAAACTAGAAAGCACACATATAATACTCTTCGATTCAATGTTATTACCCAATTGGACGGCCAGGCCTCAATATCTACTGCAGACCATTACATTTTTGTCGCTGCTGATATGCCTAGGTCCATCTGTCGCCAAAGCATCGTGACATTCTGACATCCGATGTTTATATAGCGCGCTAAGCAAGCATTTCTAGAAATTATTGAGCCTGTCCGGACTAAACTTGTTGATGTATTTTTTTATTTCTTGTTTAGGTGACAAAATAACAAATTTTTCAGGTCTGCCTGCTGGTAAGACCAACCGTGGGGATACATAACAAATCAGATCACCGATCCTCAGGGCGTGTTACTAACTACAAACTGTAGAAGATGAGGGTACTCGTTTATTTGACCACGAGCATGGGCATAATTCGATTCATCTCAATGCAGCCTTCGACAAATGCGTATCGCACCACAAAACCTTTTTGCCTATAGGCAATAATAATTAGAAATGAGCAGATATAACAGGGCCAAAACCGAAAATCTTTCAAACCAAAAGAATAATTCGCGCCGGCAAGAAGCGGCGGAGGAATATCGTGTCGAACAGTTGTGAGTAGGCTAGATCATACGTCGACTCACAAGGTCATCGTAACAGACACTACCAGATCTCAATGCTTTATGAATCTTAACCATATAAATTTTGATCGTTCGTCTTTGCTAACAATAGTAACTTTTCGTATAGACAAAACAGTATCTGTGATCATTTTGTTTCCAGTTTGCTTTTCCCGAGAGCGGCTGTAAGATGCCTTTAAGGGTACTTTCGAAAGCTAGAAAAAAAAAAACTAAAACGTATTTCTCTATAAAGTGTGTTGAATAATGAATGCCTCCAAGATGAAAAAGGTCGGTAATCACTTATAAACTCTAGTAAAAAGCGGTCTTCTTAGTAAGGATTTGTGGAAAAAAGTTGGCAAATTGAATGGGTCTATCGTTGAGAGTTGTGGGTAAAGGGACGTTGTCTCGCCCGAGAACAACGCACTTAGCCTAGCTACTCGGTATAATGTTGTTTTAATCTATGAAGCTTTAATCGAAGCAACGATTACTAGGAGAAACAGAGGAAAAATATCATTTCCACTTTAGGGAGTTCGTAATCAGGTTAATCAGATCATTTGCTAGACTGCGCGGAAAAGAAAAAATTTAAACAGCTATGCGGGTGGCGAAAATTTAAAAAGTAAATTTTGTCGTTACATCGTTGAGATAAATTTGCATTATGTGCTTCTGAATAAGCTATCACAATGATGCGTGCGCTGAGTTCGGTTACACCATTAGCAAAAAACGGCTTGTTTTAAACTACTGCTAAAATATGCCTTAGATTAACGAAACTAATCACTAAAATTGAGACTTTTTTTTTTAGTGCACGTAAAGGATGCGCAATTTTTTGCGTCAATTGCATTTCGTTGTATCCAAACTACTGTCCTAAGTCAAACCGTCATTTTAGGAGATATTTAAATCAATGATAACGTATAAATACGACACTTTTAGCAATTAAAAGTAAATACTGGTGTGCCTTTACGGTACAACTCTTCGTATGTTTACCTGTTCTAAAATGAGCACGAGAAGAAATCCGGCGATTATTATCGCATAGGGCAGAGGTAAATTTATGTCAATTTTAGCATCAACGAGTGCGTTGTCCATTTTCTCTGTAGCTTCCGGTATTAGATGCAGGAAACACGTGGCCAGAAATACACCGCCGCCAAGGCAGGATAGTCCTGTGAGAACGTGGCGAACCATGAAACGTCGGCTGTGTGAGCGGCGCGACAGAAGCACCGGAATCGAAGCGAAAAGCATTGTCCCGCAAAACAGTCCGAGCGCAATACATAATTTAGCCATGTTTGGCTTAATCCAGTTGCCTCCACCTTCGACGCCATCGTTTAAGCCAACTATGGTCGTGTAGTCAGACATTGCGGTAGATCTCAACCCCATTCAGCACTGAACGCTGCCGCCTAAAATCAAAGGCAAACATAACGAAACGTTTGAAGCAGGAACACGTACAAAGGAGGGAACAAGGTTGCGCATCATTAATAAATACACAAATAAAATCAATGTTTCTTTCTTTGATTGACGTCACTCTCATCATTAATATTCAGTCATTTTTCATTGATTGTGTTTTATTCTGACAATTCAATTTGTGTAGTCCAGTTGTATGCTCATTTGTGAGTCCTTTGTTCCACTGCAATTCACAATGGGCTATTTTGACTAAGATAAATTTTATTTAGATGCATATTCATGATGTTATTTTTTAGAGTAGTAAATAGAACGTAAATACGCTCAGTATTTCTAGAATAATAAATTGATTAAAAAAAAAACTGCTACAAAAAATACTGTTAGCGTAACAGAACTAATTATCATTTTGACGATTCGAACCATATTGTATTGTACACAAAACAAAAAGCAAATTTGCCTGTTGCTGGCTCACTTACGAAGCCACCTAACTTAAATCACTTTGTGGCACAAATTCGGTAGGACGAATGGACAAATACAGGCCTAGACACCTGGTCAGGGAAAATAGGTTGAGATTCCAGCACTTCACGATCTCAAGGATGCCGTTGGTCCGTTCCTTTTCAGTCAGCCGCAACTTATCGCAAAATTTCTACAGACAACCATTATTTTATAAGCCCTTAACGATAACAATTCAGTATGCTGTTACAATAAGCATACAAAATCTACAGATATTATTACAGACCGATTTGACCACAGTTTACGAGCGTGTTGGCTTACAGCCTGTACACACTTACGACCCGTGCGTCAACGAAGCAAGGTTACGGCTAGGCTAAACGATTCGTCCTAATAGAGAAGAGGCCTGCTTTATGCGTAGTTTTATTTTCAAGCAAGAAATAGTCATCATATTTTCAACGCAGGCTACAGCGCCGTCATGGAAGTGAGTTCGTGATAGCAGGTGCTCTCTTGGTTACAATTTGTCATGTCAGCACAATAAACGTGATAAAAATTTACGAAGACTGAACGTTCCTAAAACGTTTGAAGGATGCATGTATATTTTTGGCCTTATATTTGTAAAAGTTACTAATAACACGACAATCAAGTATCATGAAATAGCAAGGCTTCGGTTTCAGTCCATATGTACAACGATAAAGGTAATAGCGGCCATTTTACAGTCCTCACTGTTACATAGAAAAGAGGTAGTCACTATGAACAAGTGGATCACAAATCCTTTATATTATCGTTTTTATATTTGAGCTTGTCCTTATTCCAGTAACTGACTAAACGATACTATACTTACCACTTCTACGGTTTGAGTTTTCTGAATGGTCAATAATCTCTGTTTCACAAGAGCAAAGAACTTCACACATCTGCAAAATAATTACTGGAATTGATAGGAGAGAGATCGCTCCTGAATTGAATCATTCAATTTAAACGCATGAACATTTGGCAGCTACTAACAGTAGCCGCTTACCCGCGTCGACCCAACGTCCGTTTATCAACCTAACATGGCCTCTTATGGCTAGTTGAGCTAATCTATGTTACCTAGCATCAAGAACTACATATCAGAGCTAAAAAAATGATCGCTGCTCGTGGTGTTACACCATGCCTTTTGTTATTTTTTCTTGAATTGCTTTATGGATTTAACCGATTCAGAGTATCCAGTCCATAGGCTTAGCTGTCTTCACCACTATTGCCAAGGAATCGCTACTAGGTGTAACCGATGAACATGTAGACGATAAGCACACGAATAAATGATCACATTTTACGAGGATCTTCCCATCCAAGTCATCGTAAAATTGTCGTCCGACATGCTAGCAATCGTCAATATCTTTGGGTTATTACATGGGGCATTCCAAAAGGTTATAGATGTTCCATGTAAGTAAGAAGCCCGACGAAGCGATCTTTAATCTGCCCTACCTCCTGACGAAAATCACCTGAGATGAAAATAACAGAATTTTAAGCCGAGCAGAAACGTAAAGACCGAGCGACTGTCTGAAGCTGACTGTACAATCAAAACCGAAGAGGCTTTATACTTTACAAATTACGAATGGCCTTTATCGCTCTTTCTTATCGAAACTATGATGAGATATTGTTAGTCTTACAAAAAAAGATTTAAGATTACATAAGGTTGAAAATAGCCCGACAATTCCAAAGTCTACTATTTAGGATAAGGGTATATAAGTGACCATTTAAGGTAGATCTTATTTTAGAACAACAGCAACAACACCTGCACCCAGTTACGCTGGGAAAATATTACCTAAAAACATTGTGCGTAAATCATTCTACTATTCGTTAATTACTGGGGGTTTGTTCGGCGGCTATGGCACATTAGGAACCCATCGTACAAATGATGATCCGATCTGTTCGGTTACGACTTCTGAACAAAAGGTTCGTTTGGAGGTTAATCATAGATCGCAAGATCCCTATAGAACTCCACAGAAGAGAGGTAGACATTGTCAAAAGTTACATTCGTTTCAACATATGAATTCTAGACATTAACTCATCATATTAGGCCATGGCAGACTTTTGCAAAAGGATATAATTCGACCTTTTTTTCACGTACTTCAATGACGTATACTATTCTTCATTCGAGAGTGTGGTCCACAGTCAATTTTATTAACTAGCAATGCAATAGTTAAGTAAAGTTAAAAGCTACACATCGGCTGCGGATTTTGCAAAATTGAAATCTAGATTAATTCATCACCTGTTTGTGGCTATTTTTTTTCAAGATTCAATATAGAGATTGTTTTCGTGGTAACAGTCACGTCCTGTCAAAGAGGTCTAGGTATAATCTGCCTGTAAAATCATAACTAATATCGTATCACATAACTCATAACAGAATACAGAAGTTTACTGTGTTTTAACTTAGCTCCTGTACAAATCTTTGCAGCGCTCTTTTAGTATATATATATATATATATATATATATATATATATATAGAAAACGTATATCTATCTATATAAATAATCCCCATCTGTTTATATGAAACGGTATCCTTTCATGAATGATATATTATCTATGCCTTTTTTTTTTAATGGAATATTCTGTAATGCTAAGATTTATGCTGTAATGTGAAGAGGTAGGATCGATCCTTGTCATCCCCATGTCAACACACGCTAATGACGATGATGATGTCAGGCAAAAATATTTTGATTTATTATTATCGTTGTCGTTATCTGACTGTCAACTTACATTCTGTCTGATAGTGTATAGGTCTGGGAAGGCGCATTTATTTTTTAAATTCGTTGCAGTGTTCATGGAAAGCATTGTTGTTGATTGAGCTAATAACGTAACTCTGGAGGCGAACAATAGCCAGCTATAATTTGATTTCAAGGTACACTCGTCCTACAGTAGAAGGACGAAATAGTTCGATGTTTGTTGCACAAAATACGCCTGGGCTTACGGGACAAACTGAATAGTAGGCTCAAAAATGTTCGTAGAAAAGCCGGACGAAAATTGGTATCGATATTCATGTAAACTATGTGCACACATACGGTTGAACGAACCTCGTTGAATCAGAATGACACTAAGATTGAGAACGCACAAGTAACGCATTGTCTAAAGTGTACACACGCATACGCGTTGACACCAGCCGCACTCACAGAGAGCACGACAGACAGACAGACAGACAGACAGACAGACAGACGCTCCGAGGTCGGAAACAATCTCGGAAATGCACATCTCGGAAATTTTGACATATCGCGTCACACGGTCACAATCCACATCGTCACGATTAGCAAACGCAAAAAATAACGACAGCTAATAACACCGATACCGCTGTAGCGTCGCCATGCGCCAAACTGCATCGACACCGTACAATACCATGGCCAACCGACACCGATAGCGGCAACCGCATCTGCAACACCTGTCGACAGGAGGATTCCGTTCAAAGATTGAATAAGTGAAAACTATACGATCACATGATCTTTTGCCTATATTCCCCGTCCGCAGGCGTACGCCCCCGTTGTTGTCGACTGCTGCTGCTATTGTTGTGACGTTAAGTTTCTGCTCGGTTAAGTGCGGCTGGCCACACGCCGTCACCGCTCCGTGACACTTCTTCGTCGTTGTCACCGCCGTTACTATTACCGTGTGCTCACCGCGATTTGCGTTGGTGCTACTACAAATATGGGAATCCAATGGAGCATGGTGACGGGGGACTCTGCAATGGTGACGCTGATGCCATCTAATCCTACGCTAATCTACGAGTTTGGCTTACGGCAGTCCGAGCCTCGTTGGACCATGGTCGCCACATGCAGCGTCGCGCAGTTGTCGAAAACGAGAGCCAGACAGCAACAATCACCGCGAATAAATAAAATTGCAGCAACGCATTGTCTTATTCGACTTTGCATCCTCAAGCAAGGCTCCCATCCTCCTTCTCCTGTGACTCTAGCTGAGTGCTTCCCGAGATAATAAAGACGTTAGGGTTGTTGGGGCAGTACGGCTTATCGGTAACCGCCTTAACAGAGACAGACAGAAACACGTAATCGTGAACGTATTCTATGCTGCTCCCGTCGCTCTAGTGATCGCGATAGTTGATGGAAATAAAAATGACGACTTCATTATTGTTGCTGCTGTTGTTGTTATTGTTGTTGTGCCAATGGTGACGTTGATCCTTAGCGGGGGCGGCAGTGTCGAGGAGCAAAAGGCAGGTACAGGCGGGAGCGGCGGAGGACTGCACAACAAGATAAATGGCAACCAATGAGATGAAGTGATACGCGACGAGGCAACGCTTTTCGATGTTTTTGCGATCGCTTCTCATCTCGAGGTGGAAGCTTGTCGCGTATTTAGTGTGTGGCTGTTATGGCTGCCACTTGTACACGACTACGCCGAGTTGTGCTGGTGTGCGTTTGAGCGCATGAGTGCGGTCGTTCGCGCCATAGCCGGGGCTGGTGGGCCAAATCTTATGTGCAGCATATGCTAAATGTCCGTTATGCTGTTTTGACGTCGCTAGCCAATGAAATGATCCCCGTGTATGCTCATTGCCTATCCATCTTCAAGGCCATGACACTGCCATATTTTGATGCGGGCCACTTACTGCGGCCCAAAAACTAATTGTCTTAGCAGTACGATGTAAGGACAAGGATACAAGGCCAACGAGATCCCTTAATAGGTGGCTCAGTGAAAGATAAGATTTCAAGATCTTCTACCATACAGTTAAGGACTTTGTCGATTCGCTTTGGCGGCGGGCGGGGGGCGGCTAAGTAAACATGGCGGAAATGCAGTGACCTTATATATTTTCCAGTACCATCTTGCATCTAATAATCTCTAAGCGGTGCAGGCATTTTACTAGTTGCTTAAGAAATTCATAAGTCGAAGTTACTGAACGGAAACAGGTTATACTCGTACCGAATTCAACCGACACAAATATAATAAGAAATAGCCACATATATTTAGATCTAGTTTTATTCGAAGCGGTTTTATCCGACACTGGCCGGCATGTTTATTGTCAACAGATAATTAACACCGTGAAATGTCCCACTGGCGACCATGTAAAATGAAAATATAGTAAAATGTATTAAACTACGTTGAAGAATACAAGTACATTCTACCTGATAATTTACTATATTTGTTCCGCAACATTTGCTATATACTGGCGTAATTGTTGTCCTTTTCATCGTTATTAACACGCTTCTTGTTCTTGGTAACCGCCGTACAAACGATATGTCGCTTTCCTTCTGTGCTACTACTATCGCCCCTTCCTTGTCAGCTTCAGATCTAATTTCAACGACATGATCAAGTGAATATACGAAAACCTCGCCTTCTCTTTAGCATTTACAATCCGTGAAACTTTGCTTCCAATAATGATGTACAAGTGTGGAACTCAATTGTGAGGGATTAGCTGTTATATGGCTCGTTGCTATCTATGTCACAAATGCCAAACCTAAACAAGAAGTGCAATTATTTAGGTTTAGAAGTGCTTAGAAGACTATCGAAATACAATGAGCGTCTGTAAGATCGCAAAATCGTGAAACATTTTCAACGACTCTTCAAAACAATCTTATCCGCAGCTGGAGATAAATCGAAACAAACTAATGTTATTTTGAGTTAATTTCTATGAGCTTAAAAAATTTGTATATAGATTCATAGATTTAGATTTTTGTTCTCATTTAGTTCAGAGTCATGCGGCGGCGACACATACCCCGTGCTAACATTTCACGCGTTCCTTAGTGTATCCTCGCTTACCCCTTTGTATAAATGCACCTGGTGGGGCAATGCTGCAGATCAGTTTCGGCCGCTTTGTACCTGTTCACTTCGATATCTCTAAAGCATGTCATAAAAACAGTCAAATACCTCGTCGTACGACTATGTTCACTCGGTTCTGGTTTTCTTCTAATTTTACACTACTTCGTTTTCATTCGTTCAACACTTGTTCGTACCTTATCTGTCCAATATGACCTGAGTCACAAATTAGGCCAAGCAGTTGTTACTTGACAATGAGCTATAGTGCTTGTAGTACGAACAAATCAAAATTATCTCCACATAAACCTCTGAATATTCCTTAATGGGCACATTACTATTAACACACTACTAACAAATGTGTGCTTGAGATAGTGTATTTTTTTAATTAAGGCAACTACTTTTGTATTTCTTTGACTAAATCTGTGTTTGTCGCAATAATCTGCTTCACATCAACGTTACAAATACGAGCGCACATTCGAACAATCTGCTTTACAAAATACACCACACTGTTGCAGTCGCCTATTCGTCTTTCTGACTATTCTATGACTAACATTAACAAATTCTAATGCTACTTTATCCACAACCCAGTAGTAGTAAATAGCAAATATAGGATTATTTTGTACCTAAACTGTTTCTAGTTAGAACTATGTCCTTAAGGCATTGTTTTACCATGTCTATGTCGTGGCGTTTACTCCGTTTATGTATATTGACTTACTTAGTCCGCACAGGTTTTAGCTTTTTCTATGCCTCTGCGAGTACTTGTAGAAGTCGGACATTTCAAACGGCTTGCTCTCCTCATAATACGGTTTAAATTTTCCGGCCTCGACAACGACCTGAGTTGCAGCCGCTGATGTTCTCACAACTGTGCTTGGTTGGGCCTGAGATTGGGCAAGAAGAACTGTTGCACCTGTAGCACTGCTTGCTGGCGTTGCCGTGACTGCCACTGGCGTTGCAGATGCTACTGCGACTCCGGAGCATTGTGGGGGATCACGTGTTGGTAACGCTGGCGGCGGGAGAGGGCTACGTCTGAGTGGAATAGGTTCGTCGAGATCCGTCTCAGTCCATTCTTTCTTCAGTTTTGGCTGGGGCGGTGGAGGAGGAGGCGGTGGAGGCGGAACAGATGAAGATGGTGTCGACGACGAGCTCGCCATAGACAGACTAGAGACGCTCGACGTTGACGTGTGTCGCGGCAGGGGTGGCGGTGGAGGTGGGGGTGGCATTGCAGTCGCGGCGGCAACGACAGGATAAGCGATGCTACCAGCGAGAGGCCCAAGACTAGGTAGTCCGGGCGTGTTCATGTCGCCTCCGTCCGGTATCATCGAGGATGATGATGTTTTAGAGCTAGTGGTCGTGGCCGGCTGGAGAAGACCAGGTATATTGTCGTGACTTGAAAACGCTTGCGATAAGCGTTGCGTTTTGACGCTGTATAAATTAACCCGTTCAAAGGGGCCTTCGTATTTCGAACGCGCCTCGAGTAATGGGCTAGGCGCTCTCGTTTTGCTGCCCGGTGCTGGTGGTTTACATGGTAGATGCGCATCAGCCCGCGACACTCGATACACTGGCGGATACTGCGAACGCCGGTAAGAAGTATGCGTGCTTTGTTGAGCGAGGCTAGGCACGTATCGCGATGAACTGTCCGAGCGTTGAGATTTTGGCGAGGACGGCGCAGAGTAGGCGGCAAGTGGAGGAATCGGTGAAGTCGATGTCGAGCTCATCGATGAGCGTGGCGACACTCTAAGGTTCAAGCTGCTTGACGCGTGACGACCGAAGTCCCGACCAAGAGTATTCGATCGTGGCCTTTCAAAGCCGCCCTCAGCGCCCATCACAATGCCGATGGAGCCGCTGTCCACGCTGTCACTGAGGTCAGACAAAACAGGTGAGCGCGCTTTCAGGCGATCGAGCGAATGTGAAGGTGGTAGAGGGGGCGGAATACGTCGATTGGTTGACGCATGAGGAGGAGGTGGTGGACGCACTGGCTTCTGGGGCATTGTTGACTGCATCTGAACTATAGGCGGAGGAGGCAGAACTGCCGGCGGTGGCGCTGTGACCACTACTTCGTTTGCATTACGATCCACTAAGGGCTTGGCCTTACGCAAAGTCGGGTTTGCGATGTCGTTATCGGACGGCATTTCAGAATCGTATGCGCCTGTAATATCCGCTTCTTTTTTACAAATTTCTTGTAGTTCCTTGAGTTTTTTACGGAGGATTTCAACTAGAGCGGATTTCTTAACCGACAGTCTTGACAGTTTCACCTCCGTTGTGGCTTTATCATCATCCCTACCTTCGAAGGCGAGCGCAATTCTCGAAAGCGAACTACGGATGGTCATCTGTGACGGATTATTGAGTTCTTGCGAGATCCGCTGCAACCGCAGAAAGTCTTCTGGTGTTTGTTTTCTTGCTCTTCGGCTATCCATATGAAACTGATGCTGTGCTATAGCCATAGACCAAATTGTTTTGTTCAGTGCCGCATTGGCAGCGTACCACACAATAACAGAGGCATTGCCTGATAGCATGCTAGTACTACTTTTCGGATTGTTGATTTCAATCGAAAATTTTGTCTCTCGGTAGTATATATTTTCCATATATTTCCACTGATAGAACTTTTTGGGAACTTTACGATTATTGAGGTCATACTCACTGAGACCTCTATGGCTCAACCCTATCCACATCATTGGGCCGTTTCGATCTTTCTGTTGTACCTTGTAAAAATGTATACCATAAGTAGCTAACCCCTCAACTGTGTTCATGTACTGGATAACCGCGTTGCCCCTGGTAAAACCCAAAAAGCTTCGGTAGTCTTCGAGAATTTTCCGCTCACAGTAGTCAACGGATTTGTGCTTTGTTAACGAAGGACTGGGGAAGCCCATTTGGCGTAAACGCAATTTAGCATCATCATCTCGGGTCCAGTCACCAAAATTGGCTTGAAGCGCAAGAGCAGTAAGGCGATACTCTGTCTGACTGTCTGGTTCTAATACGTCCTTGCTCATCAATAGCTTGGCCTGCATGAAGAAGGCCTCAACCGTGGCAGCGTCTGCCAAAAGAGCTATCGTCGGCACATAGAATTTGATCATAAGGTGAAGAACCACGCGTGGTGCTTCACCACTACCGCCCTGCTGGATACAGTTTTCAGTTACCTGATCCAGCACGAGCTTTTCCGGCTGCAGCCAGTGCAGGTGGCCATCTTCATCTTGCCACGATAGACCAAACAACTCACGTTCACGCAACTTCAAGTGAGACGCCGCCAAATTAAGTAGGTCTTCAGCGATCAGTTTCTCATCGATCTGCGTATCGATTCGTCGTTCTCCTAACAAGTCAATTTCGCAACGGGCCGATGCTTCCATTCTCATCGCCACCTGCTACTTGAGTTACCAACAAAAAATGAAGAGGTCACACTCATTGATTATAAATCCAACAAAGTGCAAAGCACAACCGCCCCAGGACACGAGAACTGAAACTGATTTTTTGAAAGCTCTCTACAAATGCACCTCTCTTCCCCCGTGAATTACCTCCAACCACCCCAACCACCACGTCCCGTCTGTCTGTCTGTCTTTCTATCAGTTCGTCTACATGCCTAGTTCTATGAAGGGCACTCGGACATTTGTAATAGGTAGCCAAGCGAAGCTCAGCCGCCGATTATACCTCCTGGCGGACAGACAAAGCATCAGGCCGACGCCGCGAGGCGGCTGAAAGGCTAGCTACAATAATCTGAACCAGCTGTTGCTGCTGCTCGTGTTGCTCCTGTTGTTATTCTCGTTGTCGATCGGGCAGGTTGGTCGTGTTCAGCCGTGCAGTCACCCAGGTAACCCCGCGCACTGGTGATCGGCGGCGTTCAGCGTAAATGGTGATTTGTTGCCGTTTGTTGGTGTCCTGCAAGCGCAATCGACCGCTTCGACAGGCGGTGTTTTCAAAGACCGGTCGATGGCGCAATAAGGAAGAGATGATCTTGGGTGTTTTAGATGATGGCAATGATGGCGATGATGATGGTGATGATAATGGTGGCTGATCGATGCTGATCAGAGATGGTAGGCGTCAAGTTGTTGTAGTAGCATGGTGTAGTTGAGTGTTGTGTGGCGGTGATGGTCAGTCAGCGAACGCGACGAGGGGCGCCAGAGGTAGACAGACGAGCCTTAAATATAGAACGACAGACAGACAGACAACGATTGGTCCTCATCCTGAACACAAACCTGTACACATTCCGTTTCCTCCGTTCATTCCTTGTCATCAGATAATTGCAGTATTTAATTAATCAATGAATGAATGAATGCATCAATGAATGTATGGATTGGAAGCGGCAAAGAGGGATGATAGGAAAACATACGAAATAGGAAAGGGTGTTGAGAGAAAGCGAGAGAGAAAATGAAATTAATTTCTCAAATGATCGTGGTGCGCACACGCACGAAGAATATACGCTTCGTACCCAAAATTGGATAAGCAGTTATATAATTGTATGTTTACGTATGCATTTGTAATAGTTTATATCTGCTGTAAGAATATGCGCTCTAATGATTTTGATTAGTCACGTTTCAAACCTCAAGTACTATGAGTCGTCTACAGATACTTACATTATGTACACGAAGTAGGCCGAGAATAAAAATATAACTATACAGATCAATGGAAGTTTATTACTTTAAAAAAAAAACTACTGTTCACTAATTATCTCAGTATCCGCTGTAATTACGTATCCGACCCTTTGTTGATTCTGTAAGTAGATGCACCAGCCACATAGAAAAATGCCTCTTAGTACTGAAAAAAGCGAGACATCCATTCAGTACTACTGCAGCATTGCTACAATATCTGTAACTTCCTAGTTATGTAAGAGAAACCATTTCAGATGGTTTAGATAAACTGCGCTCTACTGCGTTTCCTACTTATCGTGATTTAATCGTGATAATGAATTTAAACTAAAGGCTCGGCTTGTTTGGAAGCTAATTATATTAATGCATCGAACGCATTGTCATGACCCACTTACTTATAATAATGTTTAAAGCTTTGGCCATTTACTATTAAACTACTACGGAACAGAAGCCATAGTGACCACTCGTGTAGAACGTTAACAACGAGCATTCACATTATACTGCACAAAATCTAAATAAATCGTCTTTCACCATAACCCGTATTTTATATCGTTGATAACTCGGGTTAAAGGATCGAACGCCTCAAATTGGGGATTTATGACCTGCCCTAATCTCACATAATAGAAATTCAGAGCTATCCGTACACTTAGGCTTTCTAAAATCTCTCCCTAAGGTTAAAAAGGTTCGCTTGAATGAGAACAATATAGTGATTTCAGATACTGAATAAGTAAACGTACTAAACACAACACGCTTGAACACATTGTAAAAATAGTGCGATTGTTATTTCTTTGTGCAAGTCAATCATTTTACGAAACTGTAGGCATAAATATATGGTCTTGGATAATACTAATAATTTTCTGTCAAAAGGCCGCTATTTTTCCGCCGCGCAAGCAATAGAACAATATCCGATCATAGATCTAACATTTACGGTGTATTAAATATCATAATATAATATATATATATATATATATATAGTAGTAAATATAAATACCGTAATAGAAAAAAAACGCGAAAGACAAAGCATAAGCAACAAACCTACAGGCTTAAGTATTATTACACAGATATTACGCAACAAATATGCGCAGGTCAATGACAACGATGAAAAACAGACATCTCGTGCTCCCCTGGACCATGCACTTAAACTCCTAGGGCAATATGTTGTCCCATTACGGTAGCAGAAACATAGACAAACTGACTAGAAATCTATAAATCGAGAAAACAATAATAACGGTGATTTTCCGAATTTGTAGCTTCGGCTTGCTAAGAACCCCGTAACTCGTGAAATCGATCAATTAGTGGACCAAAGGAGGAAAAAAAGTCCTACTTCTAGCTCCAGTTTACAGACAGTAGTAAAACCCCTTAAAATGCTGTAAACTACAATTTCGGTGTCATACTATTTACTCGTCCTCAATATAACATAACAAATCATTATTTGGCACTGCTTAGTTAAGAAGTCTCACAGGCTAAGCTCATACGATTAATTAAGCTAAGCATTCTAATATCCGTGCTCTAAATTATATTAGCTTCACTTGATGCACTGCCAAAAGCAAATACGGAACTTTCTCTACACAACTTAGAATAACCGGTGCCTATTGTAGGCCAATGTCTTAAAAATGAACCATTCAAAAAGTTGATACGGTTTGGGGAACGCCATCTCTTCGATGTTTTTAGATAGGTTATTCAACTCTTCTCCCTTCGAATCAACTCAGCATGTTCCGACTGGTTTTCCATTTGCGCGAATTGTTTCCAAAGGCAAAAAACGAGAACAGGTGCAATTATATGTCATTCTTTGTAGTGGTGGGACGGAGAGATGGACTTTTACAGTCCGATAGCACCAGCGTTTTAATAGAACGCGCTCGGCGTTCGTAGGTTTTCTATAGAACTAAATCCAGTTCAAGTAAGACGTTGCACTATTAGTAGCGAGACCTCCGCGTTAACCGTCCTACACTATACGTTTTGTAGAGCAGTTGCCATGAAAAAGAGTAAGTCGGCAATCATTATACCAGTGTTTTTAGTTATGTTCGAATGATCCGTTACAGAGACGGAGTCAATGGCCGAGGTTTGGCTCCGATTAATACTACTGCTGTTAACTTCAGCAAAAAAAAAAAAACGAATTCCGTAATGCATGCTGTGCTGGTATGACAAACAGTAGATTACCACAGACACATTGATACTAGTCGGCCTATGCACAAGGTAGTAGCCCTCCCTCTTTATCGCAGAGAAAAGAAGGGAACTTGATTTGCGGTAGTGTCACGTTCAGCCAACGCGATCTGACGCGTATGTTACTATCACGAGACTAAATCATTGTCGATACGCCAATACTACCCTATAAGACATGCGTACAGCCCTTGACCCCAATGACTTAAACCAGCGAGAATAATCATGAGACAGTGTGCGAAAAAAAAAATGGATAAAAAATAGTCAAAATTATAATAAACATACATTGTAACTTTTACCAAAAGAGGTATTCTAACTATTACGGAAGCTCCTCTTCACATATTCTATTCCGTACCTTTGTAGTGGACACTTAATTATTTTAATTAAATTAATTAGCAGTTTGTTAATTTCTAGGGCACAGGTTCTTTCATGACTTTCACCACATACACATCTGAGCACAGGTGAAAAATGCAACAGAGGCCAGATTCAAGACATAGGGTGACCCTTACTTGACACAATGGCTCATTCATCCATTATTACATTAACAAATAATTATCTCCCGTTGTCAAGGGATGAGCCAGTTAAGATAAAAAAAAAAAAAAAAAAAAAAAGCTAGATTCGCCTGTTTGATTATACATTTCGTAGAAAATAACACTTGCACGCACAGCTTGCGCACAAAAATTGACCAAAGCAAGCGTATAGTTCTGTATTGACTATAATAGTATTATCGTACGTATTGGTTGGTGTACATACATGCGCGACTACAAGGCAGAGCGCACTCCTTATGGCTTTTCTAACAGTAGCAAAATCCAAAAGATTCGAGAACCAGAAAACTATGAGACGCTCAGGGCACCTGAGGATCAGCCAAAAAAAATACGTTATTATATATGTACATGTAAGTGAGTTAACGTTGAATCGCGCCGATCAAATAAATAAATTGTTCATTCACATACGTTTCGATATCTATGGTTCACAGCTTTGCTAAAGACATATGTCGCCTATACTTACCTATGCAGCCAACGATGGCGGCAAATGCTACCGATAGAATGGAAAAATCAGTCTAAATGAAGATTGATTAAGTTCTGATGATAGTACCTCGCAAAGAACACTGATCGTATAAACTGCTTCAATAGGCCCTCTATTTTAGCGAAACTCAAGCTCACCATGTCGCTAAAATCTACGTCTGGTAGGGCTTCGAATTCACTTGTACCTGCAGAAATTACGTTACGATTAGAGGTCAGTTACGTACATATACCAAATCAATGAAATGCTACTCAAAAAGTGACATCGGAACAATGGTGACAAACTACGTTGACACGACCATCGACACATATATATACGCTCGAATTACAAGTGCTCTTCGTGACTCAAACCTTAGCCAAAAAGTTAGCGTTTCAGGATCCCCGGCTATATCTTTCTACATCTTGGAGAAAAAAATCGGCTCAGAGCGTAGCGAATCGTGATTTTATCATCAATTCGATGATGAAAAATTCGATGTACGATTCTAACGAACGTGACGGTTGCGCAACTTTGGGACCAGACGTTTCTGAGAGGTTCTGGCCTACAATTTAGAAATCCTTTCGGGCTCACCTTGTTTTGATTAGTAATGGCAAACTTGAAATTAGGCTTTTAGTTTCCCTCTAATCTTTGTTTCAGTTAATGTATCAAATGGAACAGCACCTATGTAGTTATTACTACAGCTACTAAATGCATGAACCATAAGTTATCTTGAAAAAAAAATTACATATCCGCTCAGTATTACACCTAAATAATCCGATCGATAATGATGATTAGCGGAAGGCATAAAAAAGGAAATCGCAACGAAGATACAACGTTCACAATTAGGAACTTTGGGTAAAGTCTTCCCTATTTCTGTAGTCAACCTGTTTAGCCTACAGCGTGACTATGACCCTTAATATAGTCGAAATGTAGAGGATCAACAACTGCGTTACTGGCATGGACTGCAATTGTTCCATTTATGATGTCAAGCAAAAGCTTACCGGGCAAATCTAAAAGACAAATTTTCAAATATACATGCCCTAGTTAGTAGAAACGAGTCGAATATTGACGATAATTGACTATATATGTCGAACTGACGGAAGAATGAGTAATCGCTGTTCTTCTTCCATGGTAGGGAGTAGCGCCACGTTTTAAAAGCTGTTGACCACGAATTGATGAATCTACTATGTACCAGTGAACATAATTTAGAAGACTTCGCAGGGTTGATATTCCTATTGGACAGCGTGTTTATCTTTATTCAACAAGCGATACTTGCGACTGCGTGGCCTGGGAAATAATATCATAGATCTCCTATAAAAATGTTGAAGAGTATTTTAAATTGTACAATGGAACTGTTTTACCTAACGACTATGATATAAACTGAGTTAGCGCCCAT